GCTTTTTATATCCATTTCCTTTTACCTTACCTTTTTAGCAACTTATTAGTTCAGCCACATTAAAAAAGTTAAATTTTGCGAGACTGTCATACTATTGTTACTGCTCCTAATAATAACCTCATCCTTCTTCACTCCCTTAAAAGGAAGTAGCTTGAGTCTTGGAGTTAGAAAATTGGAAAAGTACCCAAAACACATTTTTGACATTTAGTTTATGACTGAGAACAGTGATTTGGTATTTGACTCAAGTTGTTCAAGCATATTTGCCTATGAGCGGGCAAAAGTAATCCAGGGCAAATCTAACTGCAAATAGTAATTGTACTGAACAAATCTGTATGCTAGTATTAGAGTGAGGGTTTGGTGCAGAAAAGGTGGAGGAGTATTGGAGTGGGAAAGACAAGTGATTCACTTCTTTTTTTATCATCCCTGATCTAGCAAAAGGGGCCAGGCATAGTATTAGTAATTTGGAGGTTTCTTGCTGTCAGAAACAAGAAGACCTACACAGACAGAAGGGGAAATCAAGTCTGATTTTGTGAGGCAATAGCAAGTCCATGGAGGACCGTTTTAGATGACTTCCAAAAACTAGTGACATTTTTTCAACACACACACACGACCTCACAGCTCTAGAATGATCCACTCCTTGGGGGGTTAATGAACAAATGTGAAAAATACTGGTTATGTACTTTCCCTTAAGTTTATTGACAAAAGTTTGAATACATGTGTGCGCTGAAGCTATGAGACTGGAGAAAGCCAACTGGGATAGAGACCTACTGTCTCCATGCCTGTCATTCGGAGCTTAACACAATTCTGAGCTATTTTCTTTCATGTGTGGGGCATCTGAATTCTAAGCAGTCATTTAGACTGGATGAAGTTGGTTTAGTTTTCTGATTTTCTGTTCCCCGATCTGCAAAATGAGGGGCCAGATTGGATGAGCTTGCAGATCCCATGCAACATACCCTGCATAACCCTCTCCCCTTGAGTGGGGGGCCAGAGCTAGTGTCTGACGGGCTAGCACTCTCATCATCTAAGTTAGCTTATACAGCAGAAGGGATTTTGCAGATGTAATTAAGGTTCCTAATCAGTCACCTCTGAGCTCATCAGAAGGGAGATTGTCCTGGGTGGGCCTGACCTAATCAGGTCACCCCTTAACCGGGCCCTTCCTGAAAGAGATTCTAGGTGAGAACAGACATGTTGTGAACTGCCTATAGAGGAGGCCATTTAGCAAAGACCTGGGAGTGGCCTCGAGGGGGTGAGAGCGGTCCCCAGCTGATAGCCAGCAAGAACTTCAGGACCTTAGTCCTACAGTCTCAAGAAAAGGGATTTTGCCAGCAACCTGAAGGTACTTGGAAGTGGATCTTGATCCACTTGAGCCTCCAGGGAGATGCAGGCGGCTGACAGCATCATTGCAGTGTTGTAAGACCTTGAGCCAAGAACCCAGCCCCACTGTGGTAGGTTCAACATGTGCAAACTGAGATAATTTGTGTGGTTTTTCAGGTGGTAGATTTGTGGTCATTTGTTACATGGGAACAGAACACTTAAATGCTCTGATTTTATTGAACACAAGACTCCTTGAGGTCACTGGACTGTGGTTGAGACAACTCTGAGCCACACAGCTAGTGGGTGCCCTTCTCTGGAGTGCTAGATACACCTCTCATAAGGCTGAGGGTGCCCGCCAAAACCCTCCATCCAAGTAGAGAGTACATCAATCAACCCCTAGGTTTCAAACCTTTCTTAAAGTATGGTCTGTAGCTTAAAATACCAAGAAACTTACTTTCCCAGCCAAGGGTCTTGAGGGGCAATTGTGTCTTTTCACCTCTGCTTCTCTTTAAGGACTTTGTCTTCTCTTTTCCTCTCCTGCCATTTGGTGAAGGTAAAGTTCTCAGACTGTCCTTTGGACATTTTAAATTATCACTCAGATTGGCCACTCTCGGTGGTTGTAAAACAGATAAGCATTAGACTTGGGAGACGAGTTCAACTCTTGGCTCTGAAAGCAACCAGCCACATGACCTAGGGACAGAGAATTATTTCTCTGGCCCTCGGTTTCCTTAGGTGTAAAACACAAGACCTTATTCCATATTCCCAGACTGTTCAGGACAGAGGCACATGGAGCAACTGGCAGTTTGAAGGGCCACTCAAATTCTCCCTTCAGAAAGACTTGAAAATGTGCACCTATTTTGCCCCTATGGGTCAAGAAGTTCCTCTTCTTGCCAGTTGAACCAGTTGTCTCAAATACTTTCACATATGTAGGAGATTAGTTTTATTTTGCATGGCAGGGGACACCAGCGGAGAGGAAGAGAATCTTTAGACATTACATGGAGGTAATTTTACTCAATGGGAGGGCAAAATTATAAAGATGTGAAGGATCCTATGTGATATTTTAATTGAATTGTTACAAATTTAAGGGAAACTTATGGGTGGAGTATTGCAAGATCAATTCTGTGTGTGAGCATGTGCATGAGTGTGCAAGTGTGGCGTTTTGAAAGAGTGTGGGTGCAATGGTAGAAGGAAACATCTGACCAAGTGTTCTTCGGAAGGGATACTCCTTCACAGGATTCAAGGCAGCCTTCTAAATTATGCCCCTTTCCCTGGGCACTAGAATTAAGAGTGGAGTAGTAAGAAAGGCAAGGGTAGGAGTATAAAGTAGGGGAAGTTTGGAGAACTGATGATTGACTTTGAGTGAGGTGGGATATTCAGTAAGATCAACCCAAGTGTGGAAATTTCTAAAAAGCTGGGATGGAAGGTGGCAGGGGCAACAGCAGCAAAGCAAGGCCAGCCTCTGTATGGCTGCTTAAAGTGCATTATTTCCCCTCACTCTAACACTCGTCCTGTGCAGCACTAGGATTATCAGCCTCAGAGATGAGGAAACTGAGGCCCAGGGAGTTCAACTAACACTGCTGTCACACAGGTAGCAGGTGGTTCAGAGGGCAGCTGCATCCCACTGGCCTTACTACAGATCCCTCACTCCTAACCACCTTTGCCTCCAATGGAATGGATGGGACAACATTCATTCTGTCTTTCCGGGGCAGGAAGAGAAGAGGAGCCCTATGCTTCTGGGGGCTGGTGGTGCCGTGACATCAGTGAACTTTGAGTTGTTGGTGCAAACTTAGGGGAGGAAGAGGAAGATGGGTGCCAAGGAACCAATCCTACCCTAGCTGGAACTTTCCCCACAGGAGCTTTTGTTTTCTAGAAAATTCTTTTAGGAAAGGGGGGCCCAGCCTCACAGTCCTAGGTAGATGTGGTGCTTCTTGGTAGACTATCATTTTGTCTTTGTAGCTCTATTCTGAGTTTCTCATCAATTTGTATTTCTCCTTCTTTATCAGTTTAGAAGATGGACCTGTCGTGTTCCTTCTATTTTTATGGAGTGGTAGCTGCCCTGTGGGAGCTACCTTCCAGTGGTGGTGTAGGGGGGACTACACCAATAATCCTCAGGCCCCTTCCAACCATACCTACAGCCTGTGGGTGCTTTCCATGGGGACTTCCTTCCATGTACCCAGGAGCCGGGTGGGATGTTCTCTCCACAGCCTGCTTCCTGCTGGTACCTGGCAGGCTGGAAGGTATACTAGGGTTGAGGGGACTTTGGGCAATTCTCGGGAAGGTTCCATGATGGAGCCTCCAGTCATGACAGTGAGTCTGGTGTTAAGTTTGGGGAAAACGGAGAGCTCCAGTGAAGAGTAGCTAGACTCTGACTGGGGTTGAGGAGAAACGGGACACACAAAGGACAGGTTCACCTGATAAACACAATTGTAACTCTGGAAGCTTACAGCACTGTCCTTATAAAAATGCAAAGCAGGTCCAATAGAAATTAATGTGATCTTTGAAAGGTCAGAGTGTGCCTGAACATTGATTTTTTTTTAAGATGCTTTATCAATTAGAGACCAGAGGTTTTTCCTGATGATATTTATTTCATAAATGTAATTATTTTTCTAAAACATATTAAAATAGAAAACATGTACTTTTGATCAATTATACAAAGAAAATACCAATATAGTAATAAAAATACTGAAAATATATGAAAAGCACCAGAATATTAGAGAAATTACACTGGCAACAATTCTAGCAATATATTTTTTTTTTGCAATTGTACAATAAAGTGCTATTAAATCCAGTCAAAATTAGTGGCAAGATATAAAACAGTTATGGTATTGTTATGAAATTTGAGGCTAGGTTTAACCGCAATTGCATTTTTAGGCTACTTTTCAGATCAACCTAATGCTATTCGATTAATATTTTCATGGAATGTCTATTAATTTCCATCCTCAAGTGAAAACAATCTAAATCTAAATGTTGATCCTTGGTAATCTGGTCATGAACAGCTAATGACAAGATAAAAAATAAAATTATTATCAGAGTCCTCAAAGTAATAATCATACAAAGTGTGATGAAAGAAAATCAAAAGACAGTAAAATCAAATGTAAATATGTGATTAGGGCAAGAAAAAAGTTTAGATGCCTTTGATTTTAGAGTTAGTTTGCAGTAATCTTGCATAGGCACATTTAATAGACACACAGACATTAACAAGATAGGTTATTAAAATCAAACTGGCCAGGTATCAGGGAAGAACAATTTGGCGAGTCAGTCATTTTCATAGGAAACATTAAAGGGACACTGTTAGGACTGCACACTTCCAATTCTGACCAATGATTTCCATTCGTTTGCCAGGGAACAAAAAAACAGACACAAATACTTTGGGATTAGAGAATATTAAAGCCGGAAATGTAACATATAAGGGGAGACCGCTGTGCACACACACACAGGGAGATAGTACAGGTAGTACTTAGGGTGTATTGAAGTCATTTTCACGTCTGGAGGTGGCAAACTGCAACAGAAAAACCCAAATTAAGACAAAGTATCAGACCAGTGTCCTTTTAAGGTTTTATTGCTAGGCCAATTTTGAAGGGATTCTATTGATCTCCTTCTTCACAACTCCATTCTGGAATCCTCAGCTGCTCCAGATGAAAGCCGCCAACACTACACTTCAGAATAAAAAATTCTCCAAGCATGGCTCAATCAAAACTCAACATTTATTTAACAGGCAGACTTGTTTTTCTTTCATATCCAGTAGATTTACACGTGAACCAACACGGACTGAAACTGGCTGTATAAATGAGAAAACAAACTCCTTTCATTCATCTCTGCCCCTGCAAGTCGTTATCATTTTAGGAGTTTTAGGGATCACCCTTGGGATTACTGGGACAAGGGCAGAGTGTCAAGCAAGTCAATTAGCCCTGGCCTGAAGGTGGTACACATGGATCATGAGTTCTACTTTTCACTCTGAAATAGAGACTTGACACTTGATTTTTGATTTTTTTTCACGCTTATAGATACTCTAGCCTTTTGTCGAGTTTCCTTCTTGTGGCTAATTTTAACGAGGAATGGAAATGTAAATGCATCTCAAAACCAAACTCTTCAAAGAAATTTTAACTCCTTTCATTTAGAAAAGAGTTCGGGTGAAGATGGTACGATGGAGGAGTAGGCCTTTCTGATAAATGAGACAGATGGATCTGTGTCCAGCCACAGTGAGCAATGTGAAACCATGTAAAAAAAGACTGGAAGGTGGGACCCGAAGGATTTTTCTTCTCCACGTCATTAACAGAATTCAAAGAAAACCCAACCAAGCATAGTTTCCCAAACTCTACCTAAATGTGAATGTTCATTAAAAAGTCCAAGATTAATAAAAGGCAGACTGTTAAGGAAGACAGATAAGAAACAAAGGCTAAAGGTGGTTTGGCATTAAATAGTTTTACATACCCAAAGAATATTGACTAGCATCTGGAAGTAATTCTCAAAATTACAAAGTCATGTTTACAGAAATTACTCTGTATGTTTTTTTCCCCAATATACATGTTCTATATACATAGTATAGAAAAGCTAGTAAGTTGGCTCAGCTATAATGATTTTGTCATTAAAAAAAAGCAGATAACGTTTTTTGGCTGCGAGAAAGCTTGTTACTTACACTTTTCAGCTACTGTATATATATATATACTTAAACTTGAAAAGTAGTCAAATCAAAAGGAAAAAAATAAATTATATCTAAAGTATTAATTTACACACGGATATGTCTTGACATGGCTAACTACAGCTATAGTCTCTTATAATCCATTTCTCCAGTGTTTCCTTATGCTAACAGACTTTATTTTCAAGACATGGATTTGTTCCCCTCTAAGTGTTGCACATTTCCTTTCAGGAAGTACAGATGTGCGACACTTTTATAGTAGCATGAAGTCCTGGGTCTTTTTCCCACTAATGAATGAAAGAGCCATGTTTGCCACTGAATGCCACTTCTTTAACTGTACAACAAATAGAAGAAAGAGATGACAAAAGCAAGCAAGAGCATTGTTAACGAAAGCAGCAGCTGCTGGAACCAGATACAACGCTGAACTTGGTCTTCAAGCTTCCTATTGCTTTCTAGTAAACGATTGAGCTAAAGAGGGAGAAAAGGATGAAAGAGTCATATCAGTAAAACAGTACATGAATCATGTGAACAGCCCATAGGGATATTAGAAATCTAAACATTTCCAGGATGGGGTCCGTCTACCCTGAACAGCTGGGAGCTGGAAATGCGATGAGGGATCATATTTGTTTGGTGAGCAGACGTGCACCCACTTACTCTTGTTTCGGAAAGGTCTACTTTTCTAGTTGAGCAGGAGCAAAGCGATCACCTCCCGGAGGTACCGAAAGCAGCTATTCAGAAAGAGAGCCCCTCCATCTGTTTCAAACTGAAATGGTACCCCTTTCATGAGATCGCATTCTTTGCTACTCCCGCAAAGCACCAGACCTTGCCCAAATTAAAATGGCCAGAGCTTTTACAAAGTTAATAGATCTCCAAAAGTCATTTACCACTTACCGATTCGGATTTGGCTTCCCTTCACAAAGAAAAGAGCATTTCTGTCATGTCTATGCCAAAGGACTTCCTTACATGAGCGGGGAAAAGTGGATTTCTGATATTGGTTAGCATGAACCACTTTGTTTTAGTTAGGGAGAAAGAACACTTACCTGTAGATAAAGATCCTCACTGGTTTTATCAGACATGTTAAAAGCACTGTCTTTTAAAGTCAGGGTGGTTGGTTTACTGCTCTCAACAATATGGCATCTTAACCTATGAAAATCCAAAGGAAACAGAACTTAACATTTTTAATGAACTTTTTTATAGAAGTGAACTATAAAATGAACCACAGAAGTTTATGTAACCGAGATGAGAGCACTCCTCCTTCTCCTCAGATACATGTAAGGTAGCAGCTCAGTGTGTATTTATCTTGGAAGGGGAGCAGAATTTGCCACCCCAAAATATGCCTCTCTGGCATAAAAATTATCTATGAGCTGGTTATTTTTTTAAGAAACAGCAGACCTAAGAAAAGCTCTGAAAACCTTTATATTTATAAGGGAAGGAAATGTCCATCTGTAAGGATGTCTTCCTCTCCGTACCAGGAAGAGGGGATGACAAAAGTCTCTGGTCCCTTCTCCGTTAAGAGTTCTTGATCTAGATCTGCTTACCGATCTTACCCTTGTTGGCTGTAATATTTCCTGCCTCCCTTACCCCCCAACATCTTGTCTCAGCTGGAGATGGTGTTCAGCTGGAGGTGGTGTCTTGAGCCACTTTGGGGAGTTTCATTGTTTTCCTGGGTATCTCCCATGTATACAGGAGCTAGACATTTTATTAAACTTCTGCTTTGTTCCTATTAATCTGTCTTTTATTACGGGGGTGGAGGGTGCCTGCCAAGAACCTAGCAGGGTAGATGAGAAATGGTTTTTCCTCTCCTACATTTTGGCAACCTACGATGGGACCTGCTGAGATACTGTCCTCGCCTGGACGCCTACAGACGGGATCCTGGAAAACTAGCAGAAGCTGGCAAAGGTAAGAATTTGTAGGAAAGTCTGCTTTCCTGGATCTCACTCTAGTGCCAGGTCGAGAGAGAAAGGTAAAGATTTCACCTTGTCCCTTCCTTGCCAAATTTAGGTTAGCAGAAGGAAATAGGTCAAATGAGGTCTTCCTTTCATCATGTTCTAGGTCTTGAGAGCTGGGTTTTGTGACCAGCAAGAATATTCTTTTTGGTCTCTTTCAGCTGGAGGATGCATGTGTCCATAGGCATCCAGCACGTGGCTGACCAGGCTGGGGATATTGGAGGCACAAGGTGATAGGAGCATCCTCTTTGTCCAGCTGTGCCAGTTCTCAGGGTAGTTTGTCATTAGGGGCCCAGTCTGTGAGGGGTCTTTGTCATCTCAGCTTTTGTTGTCATTAGTGCTGGAAAAGTCCAATCCAGTAAGCACTTCCCTGATGCCATGGATTACAGGGTCTTCGACTGTGTGGGAAATTAGAGATATCCTTTTCATCACCCCATTCTTACCACTTGTGGCAATGGAGGTCTTTGCTTTCTTATGCCAACTCCCAGGATCCTGTCAGGACTGCATCTTTTGCAACATCTTTGGGGATGCCTCTTGTGTCCATGGCTACACCATAAAAAGGCCTATTGGCTTGAGTCGCTATTGAGATTAATATAAGACCCTACTTGTCAATGCCAGATAATGGATCTTTTGAATGGAAAAGCTGCTATGTTTAAAAAATTTTGAGAGAGCTCTCATCCTAAACCATAGTCTTACTGATATCTCTGGAAAGGCCAAATTGAAAGGAGAATATGAAGGAGTATGGCTGCTAGCCTGAGGGACTTCCTTAGCAAGATGAAATTATGAAATTCTTTGTACCTCCCTGCTCAGAAGATATGTAGCAAACTGAGAAAAGAGGTAAGAAAGATTAGTGGCCATTCATTCACCACTCACAGGCACTGTGACTTGCTGTTAATAAGGGTTGTTCTCTCTTCCCATCCATGATTATACTGTAGTTCTCAGACAAGCCACATGCCCCCCCACACCGAGGAAAAACTCTTCTTATCGGAAATGACCAGAATTTATCCTAGGCCCTCTTAAAAATATTCAGGAAGTGGATCAACTGAAGGCTGATGTTTGGGGGCTGCTAGAAGCAACAGTACAGCTCCCCACTCTGCCCATAAAGGCCTTTGTTGAATACTTTATAGAAACTTTTTAAAGGCATAGCGCATTAAAAACCCTGAAGCTTCAGAACACAGAAATCACTTCATTTCCATCTTAGTTGGAAATCTGCTACTGATATAGAGCAAATTGAAGAAAGTGTAGTTGTATAGGTGGTATCGATCCCTTGATACCATTCAGGCTGCGATGGAATTGAGTAATTAAAAGCAACTGTCTTTGACTTGCAAATCTTTACAAAACCAGAATAACAGCACTGGAAGCAATTCAAAAATCCACCTAACCTTACTAATCCTAAAACCTCTCCCAGTTATCTCAAAATACATGTAGGTATTGTAGAAGATCAGGATGCTGGACACAGAACCATCCTGTGCTTAAGAAAAAGAAGGAATACAGAAATAGTAATTCCTCTAGATATCTGATAATTGGCAAATATACCCCCAAAACTCCTTGAGACTTTCTCTGTGCCTTTGAGGTATGAATTTTCTACCCTATCTTCTCTAGGACTAGATAGCTAGCTCTTTGAAATACAAACTTTAGGGAAGTGATTCTCATCAGAAGGAAAAAAGGGAGTTATTTGGGAATTTGGCAAATGAAAACAAAAGTAGTAAAAAGCCTTTAGCCATCTGAGCAGGTAAACTAATTCCAACTGCCAGAGGTTTGTGTTACTGTACTTGATTCATGGCTGAAATTTTAGAGCTATAGCTGAAAGGTCTCTGTGTCTGCATGTTTGTATGTGTCTATGTATATGTATGTTACAGATGTGTATTCTTTACCTCCAGATAGTATTACAAAAATTAATTTGTAAAAGCTCGGATTGGCTTAAAGAAAAATAAGTACTTACCAAATTAACTATCCCTTAAACCTCTTATAAATATAAAAACCAACCTAAGTGTCTTTCAAGTTCATGTGATATAGATTAATCCTAGGTAAAATAAAAGCTAAGTTTGTTGGTTCAATTAAAATAGGCATGTCTTCAAAGTTATCCATATTAGATATAATGCAGACATGCAACTTTTTTTTCTACTGGAGTTTACTATTCAAGCAGTTCATGTTATCTTGGATACAAAATGTGTCAGCATGAAAAACAGCTTGGGATGATGGCTGACTGATGTTTCATGAAGCCATCATGAGTATTCAAGCATAATTGTTGGAAACAAGTGATTTGGATAGATCGAGGTTGGATAAGAGTTTTCAGGTAAACTCAAATATAGTTAAAAACAGGGTTTCAAATCTCTTTGGTAACTTGAAGCTTTAGTTTTGCTGAGTTAATCCCATTTATTTCCACAAAAGATAAAATACTGAAATGTTCATTACTGAACATAGGTTTATTTACTTTTGGCCTCTTACTACAGAACAACTAAAAATATTTAGTCTGTTAGTAAACATATTTTGTGCCACGGTGAAAAACTGTACTATGAGGAAGCCTATGCTTCTAGAAATTACGTATTGATAAATTTGCCAATCTACAGAATGCTGGTTTTAACTGACCACAACTGCTTGCTTATCACTTGGTTTTCACTAGAAATTACAGTTTCTAAGGGTTAAGAATTCTTTTTTTTTAATTTTTATTTATTTATGATAGAGAGAGAGAGAGAGGCAGAGACACAGGCAGAGGGAGAAGCAGGCTCCATGCACCGGGAGCCCGATGTAGGATTCGATCCCGGGTCTCCAGGATCGTGCCCTGGGCCAAAGGCAGGCGCCAAACCGCTGCGCCACCCAGGGATCCCTAAGGGTTAAGAATTCTAATTCATATATGTAATTACTAGAAATAATAATGGAAACAACTAACTCCATGTGCAAGAAAAGAAGGATGTGTTTTTGGCCAAGGAGAGGTATGAAGTATGCACACATATTTTCATTAAGAGGAATGGAGGTAATTTTGTCTTAAAGTAAAGCTGGTTATTTCAGAATAGGGAGGAGAATAAAGGACCAAACTAAATGTCTCTTTCCAACTGTCTATATCCAAACAGAAAATTCCACTTTGTATTAGTCAACCGGGCTAAAATTGAATGAATTTGTTATAAGGGTTATAAAAAGAAGCTTCAATATCAATAGTGTACTTAAACATTTCATCTGCTAAAAGGACAACCTTTTCTTGGACTATCAGTCAGCTACTGATAAGAGATGGTGAGAAAGTTTTTCTTTAGCTTTTAAGTAATCTGCCTTGAAAGCAAAGATGGTGCGTTTTATCAAAATAATTTCTCATGCTCCACGTTATCTTTATCATCAGGTCTTTGACTGCTTAGCTCTTTTAGTCTTCAGCAGACTATTTTCCTAAATCTTACAACTCTGTAACTTTCTGTATGTGCCTTTGATATTTTATTGTTACTATGGTTAAGTGGGTAATTAAGTATTATTTCATGATGATTTATGATTCCATTTAGTCAAGTGTCTAAAACCTCTTGACATTTTTGACAAACCCCAACTCAAATTCTAAATAAAGTCTGTTTTGATCTTTAACTATCTCTGGAATTTTTCAGAGGGCCTCTGGAACATATCAAAAGATTTGTGCTCTCTTCTTATAAAGAGATATAAAACTAATTAGGCTTACTTGCTATGTTAAATTACATGGGAAGCATTGTCAAGTAATGCTACACCTTCTTTGGATTATATTTGTATAGATAAGTGTTCCAGAAATTGTATAAAATTCCTAGAAATCTGTTATGTCCTGGTGTAATGTTCTAGTTCTTATCTTACAATGTTGTACGTTACAGAAATAACCAAATTTCCTTGTGAGAAGCATTACAATGAACTCTCATCAGATCTGTAACCAAGGCCATTTTTAAGTCTTTTTGTGTTTTACAGAAGCTATCATCCTTTTGCAAATGTGCTTCATCTTCAGAGATTCCTGGAAAGGACTCTGACAAGTACTCCAGAAAAAAGGTTTCTAATAACTTCCAGAACTAATAAAAAAAAGCAGCATTCAAGCAGACCAAGAATTAATGACCTGAGATTGAATGAACTGATGACTATACTTTTTATTGCTTGTTCTTTAATGTTTGGTTTTCCCAGATTTAAGGAAATCTTTTACTCTCTTCTCATAAGCTATCTATGACTGACAGCAATTTGGTAAACTATACCTTTGTAAGCAGAACTGAAACAATTTTTCTCCCTACCTGATTGCTCCAAAATTCAGAAACCCTTAGTATTTCTTCATGGAAAGAGGTTTTTTCTTTTGGCATAAGGATCTGTTCTCCTTGTAATAGGACACAATTGGAAGCATGGTTTTATTACCAAGGCTTTGACTGGAATGTCATATTTGAAAAATGATGTGCATATGACCAGACAGCTATAAGGAACTAAGATTGACAAGCCTTAACCTGTATCTGCGTTCCTTCCTTCTTCCTGAGTAAAGCTGATCCCTGCTTCAGCTTTCTCAGGAATTTCACTATCAATGATTTACTTTGTATAGTTGGCTTCTCCCATTGAAAAACCTACACCAAACAATCCCTCTGTCAATACCACATTCTTCCTTCCTCCAAGCCAAACTTCTAGAATAGAACCTGGCTCCTGCCAACTGAAAATGCTCTATATGAGGTCAGTGATGACCTCCATGAGGTCACAAAGGGCTGCTACTCACACCTCACCCTTTATGACTGGCATGGCAGCACTTAGTAGCACTGGTCTCTTCTTTCTTTGTGAAACACTCTTTCCTAGACTTGGATGACACAGCTCACCTACTGGTTTCCCTTCTGAGTCCCTACCAGACTGTCCTCCTGTGGCCACTAAATACTCCTCCAGGCTGGGTCTTTTTCCCTCTCTTGCTGGGACAACTGAAATAAAGCTCGTCTTCCCAGGTCCACACCTGTCCTCCTCCCATGTGAACAAGCTTGCAAACAGTGATCTTGTCAAACGTGAATCAGGTCAGGTCGATGCTCTCCCACCGGCATTACCATGGTGACCAAGCTCCTCCTCTGGGCCCTGCCTGCCTCTCCAGCTTTCTTCTTACCCTGGATCCTTTCATCTCTGTGTTCCTTCTTTTAATTCCTTTTGAAGATTTAACTCAGCCACGACTGTTACAAGGTTGCCCGTTGCCCGCTTCTCATTTATCACGGGGGACAAAGAACTACCTACCTCCCAGGGTCATTTTAATGACAAAGTGAATAACTCGAGGTAAAGCACTTAGACCAGTGGGGGCTTGCAGCGAGCACTATTTGTGCTAAGTACTATCACTCTTTCACCTGTGTCTGCTTACAGTCTGTTTTCCATACAGCCCCCAGAGTAAGCCTTTAAAAAAAAAAAGCCAAGTCACTTCCTCATTTTGCTTAGCACCAATTAATAGTTTTTCTTCTCAAAATCAGAAGTCCTCACTATGGTAATCACCCGCCTTCCTACTGCCTCTTTGACCTTCTCTCTCATGTTGTCTCCACCCCTCCTTACTGGTTTCAAGCTACATTGACCTCCTTGCTGTTCCTTACACAGACCAAGCACACTCCTTTTCCATTTGTGGTTCCTGCTACCTAGAAAGCATTTTTTCCAGTTATCTAAGTGGCTTACTTTCTCTTTCCCTTCAGGACGTACAAAAATGCCATCAGAGTGGCCATCCTTAACTACCCACCATTGAGAATCCTCAATCTAGGCACTATCGCCATTTTAAGCAAGATCATTCTTTGTCTTGGGGGGCTGTCCTTTCCACTGTGGGATGTTTAGCAGTGTCCCTAGTCTCTGATAGAGGCCAGAGTACCCCATGGCCCAATTTTGATAATGAACAAGGTTTCCAGACATTGACAAGTGTACCCTGGGAGACAGAACTAGCACACTCCAAAATAAAACAATACAGACTTCTCCTTTCTCCTTTTCTATATATCTTTATATGCACATACATATTTGTTTATGGCTATATAGTTACAGGATTTTCCCCCTAATGTATCCCAGGTATTTTTCCATGAGAACAGGTAGATTTCCCACACTTTGGAATAGCTGCAAAGTACTCCTGCACAGACTCAAGTGCATTTGACTATTGCTTCACTGGTAATCACTAGGTTCTTTCCCATTTTTTACTAGTACAAACAATGCTGCAACATACACTTTCTAGTACACAAGGTGAGTGTTCCTGCAAAGGCAACTGCTGGGACAGATCCATGTTTGTAATTTTGACACATCCAGATTTTTGCACTGGCCTGTAAGCAAAGCTGCTACTAGCAACCTCCTTGAGGAAACTGCATATCTCATTCATCTGCGCACCCTGGAGCCCTGCAGAGCTTGAGGCTCAGACTAGAAGCCTAAACGCCTGCCAAAATATAAGAAGGAAGACAGGCACCTCCCTAGTCCATGCAGGTAGATTCTCTCTCTCTCTCATTCCTCCCATCACATTTGAGTCTGTGAGTAGAAAGCATACCTATGCTCCATCACTTTGTTTCTTGGAACTTCTTTCCAGAACTGAGTCAATTCTGCGGGGCCCGTACCAGATGACTGTTCCATTTCTGCAGCCATTATCAGAAAACGGTCTTGGGCAGAGACTGTTAAACCTGCATTCCAAAAGGGTAACTTATATAAACAAGAACCTTTGCAAAGGGCTGGACATATGGTTTAAGGCATTATTCTAGAAAACAATGGAAAAAATATGGAACTACCTTAAAAAGGAAAAAGTTTTTCTAAAAAGGATTTTCTAAAAAATTCAATTTCAACTGGCATGAATCGAAACAATTTTATGTGTTAAACCATTTTTCCCATCTCATTTTTACACGAGAAAACAGATGCCTAGAGTGCAGCGAGGTGACTTGTTGACACTAGTCCAGCTCTAATGACTCATTACCCAGCCCCAGGTACCCCAGCACCCTGCTCTGAGGCCATCGGGCCAGCACTCACCCCCATGGGGAGACACAACTATATCAACTGAGGCTCCAGGGTCACAACTGCTGTTGCTTGGCTTGACTCTGTATTTTTCTGGAGCAGTTGTTCGCACCTGTTTTATAAATAGAGTAGTCATCTAATAATTAATAACATAATAAAAATGCTTCTTGGGGGTAAATAGCTTGAAAATGAGTTTTTAAAAATTAACAGTGATTAATAAAGTCAACAAAACAACCATGGTGGTTAGGCAGAGAACGTATTTTTCCCCATCAATAGGAGAACATCAATCTGTTTTAAAAAAAATACTTGTAAGTCCAATTGTCACTTAGCCTTCCTTTTAAATAAATAAAATTATGAAATAGCCTGTCTGGTAATTGCCTAAATTTAATAATACAAATTCAAAAAACTATGTACAAAGGACAAATTATAATAGCATTCACAAATTAAAACACACTAGATATTCAAAGAATATCCAGAGCATCCTAGTGGTTAAATCTAAATTAGATGATTTAAGAAAATAATACCTACAATATGGGGCAGTGGTAAACTGAGTGGTTAGGTTAGTATCCAATATAAACTATGTTCCAAGCTACATCATACAGTTTTTATTGTTTTATTTTTCACTGTTATTATGAATCATTTATATAATGACGAGTGATTTTCCTTGGGTTTTTATTTACAACCAACATTAAAGCCTGCCAATTACGGCTCATTAAAGATTGAAATACAGATCCCAGGGAAAACTGTCGATAAGCTATGCCATGTAGTCAAAAGTAGAAGGCAGTAAAACGTGCCTAAAAATATCATAAATAAAACCACTGTGTAAGTTAAAAATTCTCAATCTTTTCATTAAGATATGTCTAAAATCACATCCCCTGTCAGATTTCCACGTAGGATTTATTATATCTTTCAGATATTTACCTTAAATGCCACGACATTTTTCGTTACATTTGTCAACACTATCAAAGTTTTCTTCTCTCCAGATTCTGTACTTCCAAAATACAGTTCTTCCGCTGGGCTAGGTGGTGACAAAAATATAAGGCATTTGTATTATTCAGAATAAATGACAATCTAATCATTAGCTGGAAGAAAAGTATTCAGTTAGTATTTTCTGCTCATTTGTATAAGGAGATTTCATCAAAAAAAGATTACAAAACAACTATCTTATATAATTTGTGTTTTAATCTTACAAATTCATTGCATGCTGTTTAAAAGTCCTATGGTTTTCCCCAAGAATCAAAAGCAAAACAGGAAAAGGGTAGGAGAGAGAATTAGGAAGATTCTGAATTAGCCTATCATCAGCACCATCTTGAGGTGCATTTAAACTCTTTGGAAGGTTATAGATAATCAAAACAAAGAAGAAACAGCTGCTTCAACTTTAATTACAAACAATTAGAATGGTGCATAATTTTATACACCAACAGAAAAGTAGAACTTAAAATGAAAGGTAGAGATGTACTTAAGTCAGAGTAATTCCTTACATAATTCCTTAATAATAAAGACTTCTAAGTAATAGGGAATACGAAAAACACAAAATTTGGGGTGGGAAATATCTGTCAAACAGTAAAATCAGTGAACCCAAAAATGCAAATTTTACTGGCTACTGTAGTACTTATGACATAAAAACTACAAGATGGAGGCAAAGTTTGCGTAGTTCGGTTACATTAGTCAAATTGTATCAGATGCCTCCAAACAATGGGCAGAACAGTGTTTTTGTTTTAGATAAAAAGGTGAATGCTTCACATTGTCCTTCACTTTGAGAGTATATATATATATATATGTTTATTTTATATCAGGAATGGCTGCATATCAGAGACATTCATCTGGAGGACACAGATTTTTAAGGATGTGCTTTCCAGGGAGGGCTTTGCTCAATTTTGGACAAATTAGCATGGTTGCTGGCTTCCTTTTCAAACCCAATCTGAAATAGACCACAGAAAAGTGAAAGTGGTCATGAATCTCAGTACTGTTCTCAATACCCAGCACAAAAACCATGAAACATTCTGGGGAAACAGACGTTGGTTGGGTCCCTGTGCCTGTGTAGCAGGAGTGCTGCGACTTTTTCCTGGGGACAGAGGAAGGGAGTGGCAGAGCCAAACTGCAGCCCTAAAAGCCACCCTACTCTACTCTGGCTTTCTCCCTAGCCAGCTCTTCCAGCCAACCCTCAACATCTATAAGCCAAGACCTATGGTTTTGACAGGCTTCCAATGAAAAAACAGTGCATCACTCCTAAACCAATAAAGGGGAAAATGGCAAAGAAAAGCCACAACCAACAGAATATGTATGTATTGTCCCCTGCCTCCAGCAGCCCCCATAAACACACACATACACACAGATGGTAGAAATAAATCCAAATACATCAGTAATCAAAATATATGTAAACAAACCAGTCTTATCAATTAGAATATCAGATTTTTTAAAAAGTCTGGCTGTATTGTTCCTAAGAGTCATACCTAAAACAGTTACACAGAAAGATTTCAAGTATGGGATGGAAAATGATACATTAGGTCACAACTAAATAAAGTTGGCATAGCAATATTAACGTAAGGCCATACAGATAGCCTTTACCAACGAAAAGCATCATTAGTGAGAAAGAGATCTTTACATAATGATAATTATAAACGATCCTAAATCTTAGATTGAGTAACCCAGAAACAAAAATAAACATGTGCTGAAATCTGGCTTTGGTAAAAAAAAAACAAAAAACAAACAAAAAATCCTATTTTTCTAGTTTAGCTTTTAGAAGGTCAAACTGATAAATGTTTAGTTCAATGTCTTTTCTGGGATCCTCAAACCTGAGCAAGTCAAATAGTATCAGTAAAATGAGAAGAATTTATGTCATTCAGATTAACTGTTAATATATGAATATTCACTTTTATTACCTGATATGAAATGAGGGCCCTTTAAACACATTTAATGGAATAAATAACAAAAAGGTAGCTACAATATCTATTATGACTGGAAGCCAAGGTGAGTCTTTGGATAACCTTTAATTTTTGTACTTCCACAGTTTGAAAAACAGTACAGAAGTTTTATTAATTTTGCAGTTCCTTCAAGATAATTGAGAGATTATAAAAGCATAGCTAACAAAATCCTCAACTATTATTACCTGATGTGTAATAGGGGCCCTTTAAACACACTCAATGGTTTTTTGAAAGCTTTCATTTTGGAATCAACCTTTTCATTTTCTTCAGCTTTGGAAGTATGTTCACTCACATTAATCTAAAAACCAAAAAAAAAAAAAAAAAGAAGAAGAAGAAGAAGAAAGAAAAGATAAAGAAATTTAGTTTCATGCTGACAGCTGGGCAGTTCATTAGGTCAGAAAGCCAATATTATAGTAATTCAATCCAAATTATGATCTTTAACATATGTTTATCACACCTAAATTATATATTGAACATATATGAACATGATCATTAACAAAGATTTGAGTGCATACTTAAATCAATCACTACAGAAAATATAACATGGTCTCTCCCTTACAGTCTTTAAATTCGTTCTACATATTAATCTCTCTATCAAGCCCCTAATGACTTGTAAAAAGGTAACTGTTCTTTCATAACTGAAATAGAGGATGTAGATAAAAAGTTTTAACCTAATTTATTTTATCTCAGATAAACAATACTTTCACAAACAATTCCCTCAAAGTGCATTTTGCCTATTTTTACACAAATGCATGAAATAAGCCTTTTTATATAGCACAGTGACACTGCTGGTTAGCTAGTTCCATTCTTCTTCTTTTTATAGACAAAGATGTGGTAGGACAGCAAGTTCAGTGAATTGCTCAAAACTACCTAGCTAGTTATAGAACTGTGCACAGGCCACAGCTTGTGACTCAATTTCATTTTATTGTGAAAGTTACCTTTTTTAGAAGAGTTGTTTGTTCTTCATTAGAAACGGTTTCCAAGGTTTCTTTGCCATCACTTTCTATATCTTCTTTACTTGAAGCTTCATCCTCACTGGCAATAGGCCCATTTTCACACAAGGGTGTCTGGAAGTCATCATCTACTAGTGGTGGATAGCTATACTTAAAAGGATCCTAAGAGAAAGGAATTTTATAACAGCCTGCTAAGAGGTGGGTAGAGAAATAATTCTCTAAGTAAAATTAAAACCCACTCTCCTGGCAAATAACAAACAAATAAAAAAAAACCCAAAACAAAAAGAAATCCAAAACACACACAAAACCAAAACCTAGACTTAATTAGTGAAATTTTTAAAAAAGGAAGCATTTCAAAACAAAAAGGGAAAGAGCAGTAAATGGTGTGGACAACTGGCTAGCCATCTGTAAAAGAACCAACTTGGATCTTTAGTTCATACTTTGCACCAAAAAGAATTTCAGATGGATAAAAACTTGGAAGTGTGTATTATTTCTTTTTAAAGTTTTTTTTTTTTTTTTTTAGTAATCTCTACCTTCACTGTGGGGCTCAAGCCCATGACCTTGAGATCAAGAGTAGCACACTGTTCCGATGGAACCAGCTGGGTGCTCCAAAAGTGTGTATTTTTAAAAAACCATATAAGCTTTTTTTTTTCTAAAAAAAAAAAAAAAGCTCCAGAACAACACATAGATGGATTAAAAAATAGAAGACAAAACACAAAACCTAAGTAGTGAAGATGTTTCTAATCATAGCACAAAACCTCACAGGCATAAAAATATTGGTAAAAATTGAGCACACTAAAATGAAACATTTCTGAATTGCAAAAAACAAAACCCAGCCATCAACCAACCAACCACAATGCTCTGCCAAGAAAATCCCTTAAAAAAAAGCAAAGTTTTTTTTTCTTTAAAGCCACAACTGGGAAAATCACATACCACATGTATCAGAAACAAGACAGCTTTTGTTAATATATACAAATCAACATGAAAAGAATAACAACACAATAAAAAATGAAAGTACAATTCACAGAAAAAGAATAGACTACATTTTAAATCATAAAAAAATGCTCAACATCACTTACAATAACAGATGCAAATTAAAACCACAGTATTTTTCGTCCAAGACTGGCAAAGATTACAAAAATGAGAGTATGTGGTGTTGGCATGGATGTGGTTCAAGTATTGCCACACATTATTGGGAAATGAACACAATCTCTTTAGAGGGAAACTGGCAACGGCTATTAAAATTTCAACTACAAATACCCGTTGACCTGATGATTTTAACTTTAGGAGTTCATCCTCTACTTACACTGCTGCACTCATGTACCAAGATTTATTTACACGGATATTTACAGAATCACTATTAATAATGGCAAGAGTAGGAAACAACTAATAGTTCTTCAAAAGAGAATGGATTAAACACATTATGTCACATCCATATAATGGAATATTATGTAATGGTTTAAAAAATCAGGTAGACCTCTAAGAATCAGTATGGCATAACCTAACAAGAAATGATGTAGAAAAATCAGTATAACAACATATGTGGTACATGATCTATGTAGAAAAAAATAGAGTATCTCCAGGAGCGAAAACTTGGAAACAGTGACTGATGGCAGTGAGCAGTAACCTGGGTAGGGAGACATACTTTTCATCAAACTGTTGTAATTTTCAGTCTTTTGGTACTGTTTGCTTAAAAACAAAAAAATTGTGTATGTATTATTTTGGGGAAAAGTTATGTTAAAGAATAGTAGTCCTACTACAATTCTGAGTACAGTCCTGAAAAAATATACCATTAATGACAGCGAAGGGAGATAATATTTTCTACCCCTAAAATAAAACTAATTTTTACTAGATGCCATTAATTTTAAGATATAACAATACTATGGGCAAATTATTAAAAGCAAATCAGTCAAATAGCTCACTTAACTTGAGGTAGTACCGGAAATGAACCATACTGTGTTTTTCTAGGTTAAAATATAAAACTTCAAAATAGGAAAGTTGCAAACTTCAAATTAAAAATACTGGTTCAAGTTTTTTCTAATGAAAGAAAACAAAAGAATATACCAAAACTTTTTATTTTGCTAGTCACTTGAATCTGGTTGAATACAATTTTACCAGATGGACAGTACAGGAAGTAGGTTGTAAAAATGAAACAACTGAAATATTATCAATCAAGTTAACCCAAAGCATACCAAATCCATAGGTTTTCACAGTTTATTAGAAAAATCATTATCACAGTATGTTTCATTGTTATGTAGTATTAAAAATTTATTTTATTTTTTTGGTATTAAAAATTTAACACATAACTTACTTATTCCTGGTCTCTTATTTGTAAGTAGTGAAACCATTTAAAAAAAACTTGATAATATGTTATCCTTTAAAGTGAAAAGAATGTTCAACAGTAAACAAACAGAAGCAAAATAAGGCACATAAAAATCAGTAACTGATGGTTACAAATTAGATAATTGATGGTTCATCTCTAGATACAGAAATACTATGTACCCACAAATAAAACAGTTTGTCCTGTTGATTAGGAATGATCTCTAAGACATGCTGTAAAGAAAAAAGCAGGGTGTATAATGGTGTGAAAATACACTACTTGTTTAAAAGAGGAGGAGGAAGAGTTACATATATTTTTGCTTATGTGTCTTACATATGTACTGTAGTGCTTACATAGGCAATACAGATCCACGGAAATAAATATAAGAAATGGAATTGGGGATAAAAAAAAGAAATGGAATTGGGGAGACGAAGGGAGTGATTGGGATAGCAGACTTTTTACTGATTATTTGTTTCTGAATATTTATACTGAATACTTTTCAGCTTAGAACTATGTAAATATAGAACCTACTCAAAAATGAAATTTAACAACTTGAAAACTTATATAAAAATGTCTATAGTGGTGTTATTTTGGAGTATCTATGATCTCTCTTTGGATGTTAAGATATTGCTTTTTCTTTTTTCCTTGAGTAAAGAATACAGCCTAATGTGCCATGATCCAATCTTATTTTAGAAACATATTTCAAGGACTATACTTACAGTTCCACCCATGTGGGGAGGCAGGTATTCTACGCTGACATAGTCTTGGACTTCATTTTTACTTGTAAACTTCAACAAACTCACTGCTTCTGGGCCAAGCCAGGATTTCACAATTTTGAAAGCAGCTGAAGAAAAAAACAGTCACTTCATTAAATTCATTCTCTTTTGCAAGTAATTTATTGTATGTGCTAATGTAGGTCTTCTGAAATGAGTTTGGGCTAAACTGTTCATATATATCTTTCTGTGGTACGATAATTAACATTCACTAATTCCTATAGGCATTTACACTGTGACTATCTGTCATGGGTTTCAAATGTCCCATCAAGATTCAGGAAGATTAAATCACCTCGATGTGCATCAATAAACGTATCAAGGTTTTGGCTTCTGTACATATCTGTCAATGATCCCCACTACTAAGATTCCCAGACACAGAATCAAATAGCACTGTGGTTTGAGGAAGAGTCATTTTTCCTTACACTTCTGATAAACCTCCAACCTGAAAACCCTTCTCAAGTAGGAAGTCAAGAAGAGAAGAAAGTAGCCCTCCTCGTTGTGGGTTTGAGCTGGACTCAAACTTCATCCTAACCCCTAAACTTCTCTGCCTTTCTCCCAAGCCCTGCAGCTTATATAATTGTGAGGAATTTATTTATGGAATCTACAAGAATACACTGTTACCAAACACAGCTGTTTAGTAATTACAATCTTGTTCTTTCATGCTATTCTAATTTATACTTAATTTTTTAAACCTTGTTTCCATTCTGACATTCTAAACACATTTTAAAGAAATTAAGAGAGGAATCCTACATTAAATTTGCAAAAGCATCAATGAAAAAAATCAGGAAATAAAACAGGATGATAAAAATTAAATAGTGGTTCAGAAAACTGCATTTTTACTTTGGCTAATTATGCTTGAATTTTACATAAGATTTATTTTCATTAATTTCAATTTTAAAAGTCTGTGAGTTGACATGTTTGAAGCTATGCTACTTGAATTAGCTAAAGTGCTAAATCTTATTTTTTATAACAGCTTTATTGAGATATAATTTACATACCATAAAATTCGCCCTTTTAAAGTATGCACATCAGAGGTTTTTAGTGTCTTCAGACAGTTGTATAACCATCACCACTATCTAATTTTAGAACATGTTCATAGCAGCAAAAAGAAACCCCTACCTATAAGCAATCTCTCCTTATCCTCCCTATCCTATTCCCTGGCAACCACTAATCTACTTTCTGGATTTTTCTATTTTGGATATTACATATAAATGCCATTATACAGCCATGCTTTTTTTTATTGGCTCTGTTCACTCAGTATGTTTTCAAGGGTCATCTATCATGTAGCATGTATCAGTATTTAATTCCTTTTTTAAAAAAACTTTTTATTTATTCATGACAGACACACACACAGAGAGGCAGAGACATAGAGAAGCAAACTCCTCACAGGGAGCCCGATGTAGGACTTGATCCCAGGACCCCGGGATCATGCCCTGAGCCAAAGGCAGATGTTCAACCGCTGAGCTATCCAGGTGTCCCATTTAATTCCTTTTTATGGCTGAATAATTTTCCATTTTATGGATCTACAATGTTTATCCATTCATCAACTGATAAACATTTGAGTGCTTTCCACTTTTTTACTATTATGACCAGTACTGCTGTAAACATCTGTGTACAGGCTTTTGTGTAAACATATGCTTTCAATTCTCTTGGGAACATACCTAGGAATGGAATTGTTGAATTATACGGTTATTCTATGTTTAACTTTTTGAGGAACTGCCAAACTGCTTTCCAGAGTGGCCATACCATTTTATATTCTCCCCAGTAATATATGAGGATTCTAATTTCTCCATATCCTCAACACTTGTTACTACCTTTTTTATTTTAGCCATCCTAGTTGGTGTGAAGTAGTATCTCATTTGGTGTTGACTTGTAGTTCTCTAATGACTAATGATGTTGAACATATTTTTATGTGTTTATTGCCCATCTGCATATCTTCTTTAGAAAAATGTCTATTCAAATCTTTTGCCCTTTTTAATTGGACCATTTGTCTTATTGTGCTGTAAAAGCTACTTATATATTCTAGATGTAGGTCCCTTATCAGATGCATGATTTGTAAATACTTTATTCCATTCTAAGAGTTGTCTTTTCACCTTCTGGATGGTGTCCTTTGAAGTAGAAATTTTAAATTTTAATGAAGTCCAATGCATCTATTCTTTTCTTTTGTTGCTTGTGCTTTTTGGTGTCCTATCTAAGAAACCACTGCCTAATACAAGGCCACCAAGATTTATTCCTATGGGTTTCTTCTGAGTTTCAGAGTTCCAATTCTTACATTTAGGTCTCTGATCTATTTTGAACTTATTTTGGTATATTAAGGGAGGTAGAGGTCCAACTTTATTCTTTTGAATATGGATATTCAATTGTCCCAGTATCATTTATTAAAGAGACTGTTCTTTCTCAAGAGAGATCTTGGAAGACAGTGGCAGAGTAGGAGGACCCTAAGGCTTGCCTCGTCCCACAAAGAGAACTAGATAATTATCAGATCATCCTAAATGCCCCAGAAATTGAAGACTGGCACAATAATCTCCACAGCTAAAAGTAGAGAAGAGGCTACACTGAAGAAGGTAGGAAGTGCAGAGACGTGGCTTGGGAGAGGAATGGACTGTGGCTGCTGCAGTGGGGAGGGAGCCTTGGTCATGGAGAAGGGCAAGAGATAGGCTAGCACACAGGGGAGCACGTGGGGAAAACAAATCCCCATAGCAATTGGCTTGGAAAATAGGAGGGCCTGAATTTTGTGAGTGTTTGCAATCAGCAGGGCTTCAAGCCTAGAGTTTTAAAGGTCAGTGTGTGCTTGGCTCTGGGAGAGCTCAGAGGACATTGAAGCTATTCTTGGAGAGAAGGCAGGACAAATAGCCCACAGACATACAGTATGGGAACAGCGATCTGAAGAGTGCCTGGGGCACACAGTGCAGAGGTCATTTGCTCATCTTGGAGCATGTCCCAGACAGGCAGCATTCATGGAGAGACTCCTTGGGGAACAAAGAAACTGGCAGGTGCCATTTCACTCCCCCACCCCTCAGCATAAGCACAGGGCCATCTGCAGGAACAAGCGCAGCACTGACACTTGCTACCTAACTTGCTTATGTTAAGCTCTTCTATACCCCTGTGCTCTAATAGAAACAACCTTCCCAGTCATGCTTGCCTCAGTCCCCAGGTCTACAGGCCTTCTCCCCCAGAAGATTGGACCAAACCCTTGCCAACATTGCATTTCCTGACTCAGGAGTTTTGTGAGGCCTTGGATCCTGGGGCAACACTGATAAGTCTCACTTCACACAGACTAGAGCACATCTAGTTAAAATGTGCCATATGAAGGCCAGGCACCAGATACTGCCCCGAATAGGCAAAGACAGCCTCTGCAGATGACTGGCCTGAAGGATGAAGTGGCCAGGACACAACAGCAGAGCATGTGGAGCACACATTGGAGACACTCCCAGAAGTGCCAGGCCCTGGGGAAGAGGGGACACTATGCAGCAGGCCACTACAGGACCTCTTCTTCACAAAGCCATTACCCTGAATAACAGGAGATGGAGCTGCCTTTACTAACACACAGAAACAGGCACAGAGACTTAGACAAAGTAAGAAGACAGAGGACTTTGCCCCAAATTAAAGAACAGGACAAAGCCACAGCAAGAGATCTAAGTGAAACAGATATAAGTAACATGCCTGATGGAGAATTTATTTATTTTTATTTTTTAAAGATTTTATCTATTTTAGAGATAGAGCAAGCAGGGGTAAGGGCAGAGGAAGAGGGAGAAATAGAGTCTCAAGTATACTCCAGGCTGAACGTGGAGCCAAATATGGAGCTTGATCCCATGATCCCAAGGCCACAACCCAAGCAGATCCCAAGAGTTGGATGCTCAACTGAGTCACCCAGGTACCCCCTGATGGAGAATTTAAAGCAATAATCATAAGGATATTCACTGGACTCGAGAGAAGAGTGGAAAGCATTAGTGAGACCATTAACACAGAGATAAGGAATAAAAGCAGAGATAAAGAGCTCAATAAACAAAATGAGAAACACACTTGATGGAATGAGCAGCAGGATGGAAGAAACAGAAGAACGAATTAATGACCTAGAAGACAACAAAAGAGAGAGAAAAGAATTATGCAAAATGAGAATAAACTTAGAGAACTCTGTGAGGGGATGGAACAACATTTATCATGCAAAATGATGTCAAAAGAAAGCCAGAGTAGCAATACTTATATTGGACAAACTAGACTTTAAAACAAAGACTAACAAGAGACAAAGAAGGACACTAAATAATCATAAAGGGGATAACCCAAGAAGAAACAACAATTATAAATATCCACCCAGCATGGGAGCCACCAAATACATAAAACAGTTAATAAGAAACATAAAGGAACTAATCAATAATAATACAATAGAAGACACATTGATGGACAGATCATCTAAACAGAAAATAAACAAGGAAACAATGGTTTTGAGTGACACACTAGATCAGATGGATTTATTTATTTACTTTTAAAGATTTTATTTATTTATTCATAGAGACAGAGAGAGAGAGAGAGAGAGAGAGAGGCAGGAAGAGACACAGGCAGAGGGAGAAGCAGGCACCATGCGGGGAGCCTGACATGGGACTCGATCCCGGGTCTCCAGGATCATGCCCCGGGCTGAAAGCAGCACTAAACTGCTGTGTCACTGGGGCTGCCCCGATCAGATGGATTTAACAGATACTTTCAAAACATCCCATCCTAAAACAGCAGAACACACAGTTTTTTCAAGTGCACTTGGAACATTCTCCAGAACAGATCACCTATCAGGCCATAAAACAAGCCTCAACAAATTCAAAAAGGTCAGTCATATTATGTATTTTTTCTGCCCACAATGCTATGAAACTAGAGGTCAACCACAAGAAAAAATCTGGAAAGACCACCAATACATGGAGATTAAATAACATGTTACTATACAATGAATGGGTCAACCAGGAAATCAAAGAAATAAAGTACATGGAAACAAATGAAAACACAATGATTCAAAACCTTCAGGATGCAGCAAAAGCAGGTCTAACAAGGAAACTTTATAGCAATAAAAGCCCACCTCACGAAGCAAGAAAAATCACAAATAAACAACCTGACCTTATACCTAAAGAATCTGGAAAAAGAACAACAAACCTAAAACCAACAGAAGGAAGGAAATAGTAAAAATCAGAGTAGAAACAAATGATATAGGAACTAAAAAAACAACAGAACAGATCAATGAAACCAGAAGCTGGTTTTTTGAAAGAAAAAAAAACAAGAAGATTGATAAATCTCTAGCTAGACTTATCAAAAAGAGAAAGGATCCAAATAAATAACATCACAAATTAAAGAGGAGAATTAACAACAAACACCACAGAAGTACAAACAAGTATAAGAGAATATCATGAAAAACTATATGCCAACAGATTGGACAACCTAGAAGAAACTTTTGTGGAAACCTATAAATGACCAAACCTGAACAGGAAGAACTAGAAAATTTGAACAAATTATCAGGAAAGAAATGCTGGGAAACTAATGTGTTCCCTGTTTGGTATCCTGGATTCCACCCTATGTTTTTCTTCCCTTGGTTGATTTAAATCATTTTTTCCTGTAATAATCCTTTTCCTGTAATTAACCAGAACTCTAATAGCTTTCAGTGAGGTCTATGAGTAATTCTTGTGGATCTGAGGGTGCTTTTGGAAACCCCTTGTACTTACAGGTAGTGTCAAGAAGTGAGGGTAGTCTTGTGTGGACTACTGTAGTCTCCCTAAATCTAAAGGTGTTACAATTCTTTGCACCTTTTATTCCTAGTTTCTTGAGTGCTTTTATCATGAGAACGTACTAGGTGTTGTCAAATGCTTTTTCTGTATCTGAGGTGATCATGTGCATTTTTCCCTCTAGTCTACTAATGTGTTGAATAACACTGATTTTCATATGTTGAACCAACTTTGCATTCCTGAGATAAATCCCATTTGGTCATGGTGCTAGGTTTGGTTAGTACTTTATTGTGGGTTGGTCCATCTATATTCACCAGGGATACTGGTCTCTAGCTTTCCTCTCCTATAATGCTATTAGAATATACTTGTCTCATAAGATGAGTTGGGAAGTGTTCCCCCTTCTAATTTTTGGAAGAGTATGCAAAGGTTTAGTGTTGATTCTTCTTTATATGTTTGGTATAATTTACCAGTGAAGTCATTTAGGCCTGGACTTTTCTTTGTGGGAAGTTTTTTGATTACTAATTTAATGTCTTTCATCATACTTCTATTCAGATTCTTCTTGAATTGTTTCTGTATTTTGTCTTTCTAGGAATTTGTCCATTTCATCTATATTCATCTAATTTCTTGGCAGACAAGTGTTCACAGTAATCTCTTATAATTCTTTTAATTTCTATAAGGTCAGCAGTGATATCTATTTCATTCTTGATTTTAATCACTGGGGTCTTTCTTTTTTTCTTCATCAGTTTAGCTAAAGTTTTGTCAATTTTATTTAACTTTTCAAAGAACCAAGGTTTAGTTTCATTGGTTTTCTCTACTGCTTTCTGTATAACAACTGACTCTCGCAAACATAAATGAAAATGGACATTCTGAAAATAACATTAAATTTATAATCATGTTAAAGTTGATAGAGTGTTTTTCAATGCTTTTTAGAATAAGTTTTTACCAAAAGTGTATCATGACTGTCTTATATAAGGGTAATGTGCCTACAGAGATTTTGAGTAAATTTCAGATTCATCCCCCTTTTTCCTCAAAGCCCAGGAGAAAATCTAGCCAAGGCCCGTGTTCTGTGACATGCCCCATCTGTGGGTGACAACCTGAGGCATCTGGCTCTAGTTTTACCTGAATGGCTGAACATCTTGATGCTGTTTTTAGAGAAGACTAATGCATGTCCCCAGAGCCTTGGGGCAGAATGTTAACCTGGTTTGCTTAGGAACAGCCTTTGAGTGTTCTAGCTCCAGCCTCTTGAGAGTACACAGCAAGCACTAGATAAATATATTTTTAAACAACCACAGAAATATAGCTAAATTGGGAAAAAGGGAATCAAACATTTTGTTTTAGCAAAGTATAAGTAATATACTCACCATTCATTATCCAAGGCATGTCAAAGATCACCATTTTTGCTGAAAGACCAAAAAAAATTCATTCAATGTGATTTAGTACCACTATAGTAATATCACTTCCACCTACCTGGTCTAGAAAAAGCTGGCGATCTAAACCAAACTAAAAACTGAGCTGGTCGAGTCCGTTCTAATTCAGTGAAGTGTGAGTGGTGCTCAAAACAAATTAACTTCCCACACTGATGAGGGGCCCACCCAGGGTAGCTTTTGGGAAATGACCAATGCATTATCGCTGTCCTTTGGCAAATAGCCTGTTCTTTTGTTGCTTGTGTTGTTTGCAGAAAGGTACAAAAGAAAATAGTTAAGTGGTTAAGTGGAGTCTTTGGATGTGGCATGTCATATTAGTGCTGAAGTTCAGTGAACTTTAAAATGATTTCAATGTCTATATGTTGATTAACTGAATTTAAGTTTAAAAACTAAAAAATGACTTTGATGTCTAATTTATTGGTTTTAATAATTTCCTAGAGATTATATTGTCAAACCACTCACACATCCCACTCCCCCAGTTTTAATATATCATTATGTTTTAAGGAACAAAATTTATCCTTTTCTTTATAAGTCCCAGGAAGCCAATAATTTCCAAGTATACAGAAGTATTATCTGCATGTTTAGATGAAGACTTAAATAGCCCTAGTAACAATTATGAAAAAGAACCAAAAAGGGAAACCTCTACAAAGTGAAGTTTTGGGGTTTTTTATAATTTTATTTTTTATTTATTCATGAGAGACACACAGAGAGAGGCAGAGACATAATAGGCAGAGGGAGAAGCAGGCTCCTTGAGGGGAGCCTGATTCAGGACTCGATCCTGGGACTCCAGGATCACGCCCTGAGCTGAAGGCAGACATTCAACCACTTAGCCACCCAGGCATCTCTACAAAGGGAAGTTTTGACATCCAATTCATTGTTCTATTCCAAATGAATCAAAATGTAATTTCATTCTTCTCTAGGCAGAGAACCACCTAGAATGATTATAAGTAACATAAGATGAGTAAAGTACATGTAAGAAAGAAAGAATCTTGAAAGAGGTATCCTGATGCTTAATATGTCAGCCTTCATCTATGGTAGCCTAAGAAGATTTGAACTTAAGTTTTTATGAAAGAATGGTTGGATTTCATGACAGATTGTGAAGCATAATCAATTTAAGATTCTACAAAACTTAATGTCTGCAAAACTATATTATGTAGGTAGAATATATATACATTACCTAGAGATAATTAATTGGAATGAACAGTGTCCCAGTTCATCTTTATACAGACCCATGAATTTATCAAAAGTTCTCTCAAAAGAATCTTAAATATGTTTTATAAGGTAATAATGATATTTACTATTTAGAAATGGCTCTTCACAAACTTTTAGATCTTTCAATAAACAAGTGGATATTTTATTTTCATTTTGTATGTGAGAGGAACAAGCTAATAATATGAGGTAGAGATTCCCTATTGATCACTGATTGGTACTATAAAACTTAATGAATCAGGGTACATACATGGTGGATCCAGGAAGAATTCAGAAGGAATAGAGATCCGCCAGATTTCCCAACCAGACATTCTCTTTACCTAAAAATGTTCATGAATACTCCCTCTGAAGACATGAGAGCATAGGGGTAGCAGTGGCACTGATCCTTGATATCCATCATGCTTGTTTTCTGTTCCTTATTTCACATTAATAATAGTGTGAAAGCATGCCAAAGTAAAATGATTTAGGGATTTTAAGCTTTAATGTCACCTAAATCAGGAGTCTCAAAAGACCTTAATTGTAGTATTTGCCAGGGGTGTGTGTAGGCAGACTGTGAGCTTCCATTTTCTGATATCCCCCTTGTGTCTCTTCTCTTTTTTTTTTTCACTTTTCGTTCACTGGAGTTAAAATATATGACTGTTTATGAGGGATAGAAATCTTGATTTCTCCAAAGGGAAACCATCAGATAAATCCACTAAATCACAATTAAAAATAAACTCTAAGTGCCAGATTCAAATGCAGTATATGCTAGTCGAATGTTTTCTTAATGACAATTTTTAAATAGTAATTAGTAACACAGAAAGTGTTTTTTATGTATGAGTACTGCTTATCACACAGTATACTTTATCAATATTGTTTATCTGTTTCTTACATGTAATAGGTTACATATAGTAAATATTCTTTTAAATGAATTTTTTATTGAAAGATGAATAAAAATGGGATAATCTTGGAAATAAAGGTATATTTTTATTTCCCTATAAATGTATGTGTGCTATAGGATGCCATCTATACAGTTTAGAACTTAAATTCTTAAAACTACAAAGGACAATGATTATGAAAATTTCCTTTATTATCTACTAGGATATGTACTTAAACTTCTATGCACACACTTAAGGTCCTCATCAGAAAATAACACTTCAAGCATTAAAGTCTATAATAATATAAAACAACCTCAGCTATTGTCTATAGTTTCTATATATTGTATTTTTATAAAGGAGTAAGTTACTTACAGAGGTATTTAGGATAATAAACCTTAAAGCAGTTGATGATAAAGCGTACAAAGTCCATGTCCTAAAACAAAGATTATACATTAAAATCTTTAAGACTATCTACATCAGAGAATTTTAAATTGCACATTCCTAAAGGTAATAAACTATTAAAAACAAATTAAAAAATTAGGAAATTCTTTAACAAATAAGTTCATATATAAATACATATCTATATTCTAAGGTGTTAAGTCATTAAGCTACTTATAATAATCAGTCCTAAAATCAAGTAAAAGAAATCAGGTGAAAAAAAAAAGAAATCAGGTGCTTGAACAACACTCCTGTTACCTCAAACTAGTGAGATATTTGAGGCCGCTAAAGTAACATGGCATTATAAAGTGGATCTAAAAGCAATCCCTATAGAGAAATTCTAAAAATCTGTTTAAAAATTAAGTTTAATGTAAATCAATACATTTTACAACCTCACTACTTGGAGTGATAATACATATATCAATTCTGTTATATTTGCTTTTAAAACCTGGTTTCTGCACCTTGTAATAGTTTCAATAAAATGTTTTATCAATCTTTTACACAACAGCTAATCTGAACATATTAGTGTGCTAGATCTACTTTGCTTCTAGCTTCTTTCCTCTTATTTAGAAACCTAGAATTTTTTAATTTATATTCGAGTGTTTTCATTGACTCCAAGTCCTGGGAAACTTTATGAACACAACTCTCCTTTGGTTCTACTGCACTGAACACAGCAATGTGAAATTCAGTTATGAGGGTCACTATTCACATGGATCACTTCATTCCATGTTATTCCATGGCCATAAACTGACTTAACTAATCCTGATCAGCCATCTTAAAAGGACTGTAGGATGAAAGATAATCAGGCAAACTTAAATTCATCAATTACTGAAAGGTGAGTTGTCCCAGAGATGAGTCTATAGAGTCACTCCCAGCATGTGAGTTGTAGCATCTTTAATTTTAGTAAACTGGAAGTAAGCATCCTTAAGTGTCTTACGTATTTTTTTTTTATGGAATAAATCCTAGTATATAATAGTACCTTTATAACTAATCATTATATCCACTGTGCACTGAGTTTAATAATTTGTATTTAAGAGTCAAGTATCTCAAAATAACTAGTTCTATAAACTGTGGCCTCCGGAGACTTTGCCTAAAAAGTCTCCATCCAATATTCTTGTTTTCATCTTTTAATTGAATAGCCTTGCTTTTAAATCCCAAGTTACTGCTAATTCAAGTGGATTTGATAGGATACCACTGGTGTAAGTATATTAGTGGGTACTATATTAAAGCTCCGTGAAACCTATTGCTCTGCATTCTGTGAGGAAATCTTCAAGGACTATTTATTATCTTATAAAATGTCCTCCCTTTGGGGACCCATGAAATACTTTTCTCTCTAGTTCAAGTATCAGGAACAAATAGATTTCTTTTAAGACACTGGTTTTAAAGTATGGCCACTGAGTAATTGTAAATGATTCCATTTCTTTCAGGCAGGCAGATGAAAGATTAGAGCCCAATTAGTGGCCCAACTCTAACAAATAATTTTTAACTTTTTTTGCCTTGCAATTCTGCATACATGTTTATAACCAACTTAAATCCTTTGTGAATCATAAGGGAGTCATATATAAAAATAACTCAATTAGGATTTGGTATTTTAAAACAGTAATGATTTAAACAGTTAGCAATGCAAATAAGCCTTATTTATAAATTAAAGATAAAGAGATAGCATATAAGTAGTTGGCAAAAAAAAATCAGACAGTTCAAGTCAATTCCTTGCCCATACGTTTGGCAATAAAAAGCATTTGTTTATGATTCTGGGTTAATAATTAGAAACAATCATACACAAAGGATGACAGAATCATGATTAATTTTTATGGAATACCTATTTATCTAGGTATTTTGATTTAGACTTTGGGTATAAAACAATTTACTCTGTAATCTAAAAATCACGGAAATGGCAACTAGATTGAAAAAATTGAGGGCAATGGAATCCTAAAATATAAAAAGAGATAAGGATGAAAATAAAAATGTGTGATCCCACCACCCAAAAAACACTTATTCTCTCTAGGCTGTTGTGGTTTTTTTTTTATTATTCTCTCTAGGCTGTTGTGGGTGGGTTTTTTTTTTTTTAATGTCTAAGAGTTCCTTTTTTGGTGGCTGGTATCACTAGGACATTTTTTTTTAAAAAAGATATTTTCTAATATTACCAGCACTTATTTAAAAACACCATTTTATATAGCTACATATACTCAATTTACACACCATATTTTACCATTTGGCCATGCTGGCATTTACATTTTTTTCTAAGTTTTCACTTTTTTAAACGACACTCTGAAAAAAAAAAAAAAAGCACTCGGTACACACTGCTTTTTTCTGTACTCGGGAGTATTTATTTAAAGTAGATTTCTAGAAGTTAGTTACTAGGCAAAGAATACGAATACAAACACCTTAAGCTTTTTAACATGCTTTGCCAAGTGGATTTTCAAAAAGGTTTCACTACTGCTCCAGGCAGGTATGTGAATGCCACTTCACTGCTACCAGAAGTAGCTAAGGTTCAAATGCAAGAGACAACAGCTATAATAAACGTGCCAAAGGATCCCCATTGCTGCTGAAGGGTTTGTAGTTACTAAGGTCACAAGGGCCCAAATTAAAGACTGGTGGGTTTTACTTATTTCTTAAGTTTGACAAAATCACCTGAAGAAAGCTGGTTTCCAAAGCTAACCAGATCAAGCAAACACCTCCCCCCCCCATGTCTCGCTATTTACTGAGTGCACTATTATGTGCCAGGTACAGGTTAAGTGCTTCAGGTTATTAGTTTTGACAGTAGATGTCTCACCTTGACATCTTACATATCACATGAGGAACATTTCTAGGAAACACACAGTTTCAATGCCAAATACTGAAGCAAGTGTATTTCTTTGCCAATCCTATTTCATGTCTGACTTCACTCACAACGGAGGAGGAAAAGAATCAATCCCAAACAGAACTAGGTTAGCTCAAAGTTCCCACAATATTTGGTTGGGAGGAGTGGCGGCGAGGACATGACAATAAATAATGTTTGTGAATTAAAGAAATGCTTACGATGCTATTTATTCCAGTCTCTGACAGGTCGAACATCACTGTTACGGGTTTCCCATTTTCTCGTTTAGCATAACGTTCCAACCAGAATGCGATAAGCTTCTTTTTGTCCAACATGGTTTTATGGTCTTTTACATGATACTTCACCCTGATCCAGACTTTTAACAGAATATTGAATAAGAAGGAGAAAAATATCTGTCATTATAATATTATTTTACACATACATCATTCCTTTCCCTTAATATTGTTCTTCATTTACAATTTATTTCCTTTCTCAGATTAAAAACGGCTCTTCCTTCTTTTAAATGAGAAACAGTGAAATAAGTAAGTAAGTAAGTAAGTAAATAAATAAATAAATTAGAAACAGTGTGCACAGGAGAACCTTAGAGAGGTGCAGACTCCTGTATATGATGCCCTCACAATGCCCACCTTGGGGAAACAGACAGACTTCTCCAGGAAGTAAGAGGGAAAAGAAGATGCAGGTGAACAAACAGTATTTGGTAATCATCTAAAAGTGCTCTTCGCGGAACTCAACAAGAGGGCAGGCCAGTGGTTCTGTCAAGCATGAGAACAAACACTCTCCACGCAGCAGCAGCCTCACTGGAGGCACGAGGATGGCATGCGCCAGGGGCAGGAGTGCGTGTGGGGCGTGGGCACAGGGTGCCGCAAACCACTGGGAGCAGGGCAGCTGGGGCAACATGGGGCCAGTGCTGTGAGGAGAAGCTGAAGGGCTGGGCTGGACGGCCTCCAGATCAAATGCTAAGGTGTGATTTTCCTATTGAAGACATCCCTTGGAGGCAGCAGCACTGAGTGAAGCACGGAAGGGACAGAGGAGGAACTCCAACTGGCTGTGCCCTGGGAAAGCAGCTAGCCTCTGAACTGAGGAAGGGCTGATGGAAATGGAGAAGGGGCTCCACTGAAGCCATGGAGGGTAAGGGCCCATGGTGTGGGCTGGGTGGTGCAGAAGGAGGGTAGGCCGGGGGATGCGGCCCAGAGGCACTTTTGTGTTGAAGGTGGCCGGCCATCAACCCGGTGGCACCAATCAAGTAGGTAGCTGGGCATATATGTGCCTGTAGCCTGGACAGTGTGGGGTCATCACTGTTGGTGGGGAGGCAAGGTCCTTGAGATCACCCAAGGTGACTGTATCAGCTGGAAAGAAAAAACAGCAAAGAAAGGCATAAAGCCAGGGAAGCGCATGTAAGGACGGGGATAGGGGGGCGGGGGGAGGAATGAGAGAAACAAGAACTGAATACTGGGAAAGAGAGCTGGCAACAGGAGGGAAATGCAGAGAGAATACTGTTGAGACAGGAGTGGACGACGCACTGCAGGGGGGCGGTGGCGGGCAAGCAAGCGCTCAGACGCAACTCTGACACTCCTCCTGCCCAGTTCCCAGCCTTGCTACAAATGGAGCTGGATTCCGGACAAGGGAAGGGAGGAGTGATAAGGGAGTCACTGGGACAGAGAGATGGTGGTGGTTACTGTTCCTTCTGCAATCACAGATTTCACAAGGAGCTGAGGGGAGAAGACCGGGGCAGGGGGGGATCAGGGACAGTGGGACCTTGGACTTGAAAAGTCCACTTAACACCCCTCAGCGACTGTTGAAAACATTTTCCATGAAAATACTGGGTTGAATTTTAAGATCAGTAAATTAGAAGAGAGCGACTCTAAATTACATGATTTTGGCTGTGTTACAGGATGTGGCATTTGCCTTTACTGCCTACTTTATCATAATGCAAACAGTACATACAACTAAGGGTCTGACACCCTGTCAAGATGGCCTTAATGATCCCCAGTTGTAGGAAACTTAATGTGTGCTACATATGGAGAAGGTTCTGCCTATTATTCAGTTGAGATAAATGCATCTCAAAACCTTGAAAAGCCAGTACATCAGTTAAACATACTTACACAACTTGTTGCCTTCTTTGTCATAACCGTGGAGATAAATACCACCAATTTCCAATAACCATCTGGGAATGGAGGATTCAGTCAGGTCTAAAAAAGGATAAACCTGATGAGTAATTGTAACAGAGGGGCCTTTGAAAAAGAAAACTTATGACGTAAAGGTTAATGTTATGTAGTAGGTCTGATGTAAAAAAAAAAGATAAGCTCCTTTAAGTATCTGGAAGGAGCCTCTGGCAATAAAAAGTGGTGTTTCTTACTAACGAAACAAACTACATAAAGACATGGATGAGAAAAATGGGGGAAAAAATCCATTTCCCTTGACTCATCAGCCATTATTATATGGACACATTTCCATGTTTTGGTTGTATTTCTCATAATAGCTTTCAACAAATACCATCACTATTGGACAATTTCAAGATAACATGCTAGTAAATATCCACATTACAGCCTCAGGATTGACTTAAAACTCACTTAGGGTTTCTCTAGTAAAATATTTTCTTACCAAGGGTTGATACCTGGTAGTCTAACACATTTTATAATCTTGGAGCAAATGGAAAATATTTTTTAAAAAAGCCAAATTTTTAGCAGGAGTAACAAAACAAGGTCTGTCCAGTCGAGTGAGAACATAGCAAGGCAGCAAATACCAAGCCTTTTGTATCATTCACCAGTTGTTCCCTGAGGACTTTCAAAGATTCTTCACTTTTCCGCACCACCCTTTTACCATATCTCTGCTGTGTGCCACTAGAAACTAGCAATTCCACAGAAGAAAAAAAAAACTATTGTTGAGTTTAAGAGTTCATTCTGTACCTAAATGAGTTACATTTCTTTGCTTGATTAATAAATGCTTCACTGTTTGTTGAAATGACCTATGGTTTTTATACTTCCAATCAAATTATTTCTTAAATACTCCTCTTTCTCAGGGATCCTTTCTACAAGTATAAAGACTGGGGAGAGTATCTGCTCTGAATTTATTTGTGGACTTTTTTCTTAAGTCTCCAGACTCACTCACTCCAGAGTTTGTAACCCTCAAGGTCAAGAAATCCTTCTTTGTACCTCATCAAAACCAGTAGTTATGCCAGATTCCTCCTGTTAAATTTTTAGGAGAGAGATAATGGATAACCTTTCCTGTGAAGAGTTCTTCATATACTTGAAGACTATCAAAAAAAAAAAAACCCTTCTAAGATTTAAAATTCCTCTTTGGCGGGGGGGGGGATGTCAATCTAGAATTGGGTCTTGAAATCAAGAAGTTAAGAAAACGCTGCCATAGGCATCCTTGGGGATAAGCCTACTTTTTTAGGGGACCCTCCCAATCTTTTAGCACTGCTACAGGGAGTACCTATTAGCACAAGGGACCCTGGGAATAGAGAAAGACATTAAGGAAACATCTGAAAAACAAAACAAAACAGGAAAAGAATATCTCTGTGTCTAGGCCTAGTAGTAATGATGCTATCTTGGTATGGTTCAATGGTATTGAACTAAACCAGGACAGATTAAGAGATTCTGCTCTGAGTGAAAGAATCTGAATCTAATTCTGCTCTCTGGTGATCCGATTTCCCTATGAATGACACTACTCTTAAGACATTCATAAGATGCTCCTTTCAAAGCATGAGTTTTTTATAAACCATTATATTTTGGTGTTTATGATGATTGCCAAGAATATCTGCAAATACACTATTTGGTAAATGTAAAACTAACATTTATACGTGAGGCAGTATACTGTCAAGGTTAAATTGAATGCATTACCGTTAACAGACATTTCTTTCCTCCACTGAAAACTCTCATCAAGCATCTTCAGAGTTTCATCGACAACATTATGTCTCCAAAGTAAGTAGCTTTCAACCCAGTTATCATCTTGTTGTAGCCTTTCAACATCACGTGGATCATATTTATCTGGCTTATCTAGGGGAAAAGCAGTATTAAATAGCCAAGTCAGATAAATTCTGCAGTGAGTAATAACATTGATGCCAGGAGAAAAAAAACAGACAAGAGTAAGCTAAGCTACAGAACAAAGCTACTTGAAGGATGCAGTTCAGATGAAAATGCAATGTAAAGGATTGATGGAATTTCTAATTCAGAGGAGAAGAAAGTTATCCAAAGATAGCAAGTTTACTTTGAATAAGCCACAGTAAAATTAAAAAATAAGACCACAGTAAATATTTTACATGACCCTCTCTAAAACTATAAACCAACATCTAGGAAGATCATGTTGCCTGAATTTGAAACCCTTACCCTGGTCAATGAAAAAGGAAATTTTACATGTGAAGGAAGAAGTTGTACTCAAGAAGACATTTGTTCGGCAATATTATTTTTATCTTTTTAAAAGATTTACTGGTTTATTTTAGAGGGGGGAGGGGCAGAGGGAGTCTAAAGCAGACTCCGCACTGAGCACAGAACCTAAGGTGGGGCTCGATCTCACAACCCTGAGATCACGACCTGAGCCAAAACCAGGAATCAGACGCTCAACTGACTGCGCCACCTAGGTGCCCTGGCAATGTCATTTTAAAAAATGAGATGCAAAATGGAAAACTGACCATGTGTGCAGCAGTCAACAGTTCCCATAATGTATTGGAATAATTGTTTCTAATAATTTATTATCTGCTTACACACAGGCTATGGTACTTGGTACTCCTTCCACATCTTGCTCCATTTTTCTGTAACTGAACCTGGTCTCCTCACAACCACCTCTGTACATTCAGATTCTACCATTCTGCAAGGCTTTCAAATGCTTCCTCTTCCACAAAAATTTCCCTGAGTCCAAAAGGAATTCTGTCCCTCTGTGAACAGCCCCAGGACTTAAACTAAGCCTTTCTTGAGGCACTTAGCATTTTTTCCCTTTAATCAAAGTGCCATAACTTCCCATATAGAGACTGTATGTAATAGCACAGTCTGAACATTTTAGGACTCCTCCAAAGCTGGTTATACTAGTGCCAGTGAAAAGGCTTTCAAGATAACTGAATCTTTTCCTTCTCTATTTTTATTTTCTCTCCCAGGGACCCAAGTGGGAACTTCAGAAAATTCCCTGGCTCCTTCATCTCCATTTTTTTTTTGCATCCAGTTAGATGCCAAGTTTTATAGATTCTTTCTCCTATTTGCTCTTATTTCAAGACATCAGAGATAATAGCCAAAAGAGCAAGAAAATATAAAGTGCATTCAAAGGCTCTTTGTTGAGTCTCAATTTCCTTATCTTTACTTTTTATTTTTGTAAAAGATGTATTTATTTGAGAGCGAGCGTGCATGAGTACATGAGCAGGGTGAGGGGTGGAGGGTAGACAGACAGGGAGAAGCAGACTTCCCATTGACCAGGGAGCCCAACATGGGGCTCGATCCCAGGACCCTTGAGATCATGTGAGCCAAAGGCAGATGCTTAACCAATTCAGCCACCCAGGCGTCCCTCAATTTCCTTATCTTTAAACTGCTTTAGATAATCACAGGGTTGTGTGAAGATCAGATGAAAATGTATATATGAAAGTACTTGAAAGTTTAAAGCACTAAGATTAGACCATGAATCATGCATTTGTACAGTGTTACCTTGGGTATCTGGGCTCTATTTTTCTAATCTATATGATGACTGATTCTATAGTAGGTAAACCCTGGAAAATGTTCCTTAGAAATTCATTGGTATTCAAAGTACAAATTTTCTGTAATTTATAAATACGAGTTGGATATAAAAGAGTTGACACTGTTTCACATTAAGAGGGCTCCTGAGAGTACCTGTCCCCTGAAGAAGCACCCTCCAGTCTGGCCACACTGCACAGCCTTCTCTGCTCCACTAATACAGCGTTTTCCTCGAAATTACAGGCTGATTTCTTCATTTTCAAGAAAATTTCTGCTAAATACCCAAGTCTGAATAACCACAGGTTACTCACCATGAAAAATGTGACTAATTCAGCTGGCAACTCAAACATGTATAAGTGTTTAATGTGTCCTGCAGAACAATTTTGTTACACAGAACATTAAAAGGACATGTACAGAAGGGTGAAGATTTAATATCATTTACTGCTTTATCAGGAGCTTTCTAAAATAAAATTGGTTTCTTCTCCTTTTTTAAAAATTTTTTTAAATTTATTTATGATAGTCACACACACACACACACACACACACACACACACACAGAGAGAGAGAGAGAGAGAGAGAGAGAGGCATAGACATAGGCAGAGGGAGAAGCAGGCTCCATGCACCGGGAGCCCGACGTGGGATTCGATCCCAGGTCTCCAGGATCGCGCCCTGGGCCAAAGGCAGGCGCCAAACCGCTGCGCCACCCAGGGATCCCTCTTCTTCTTTTTTTAAACTGAGAGTGCCCACAATGAAGACTACAATGACCACCGGCCTTGATTTGGGCTGACAAGCCAGTTTTGCCCATCATTCCTTCTATGTAATCAGCTCAAATGTCAACATGATTAAAAAAAAAGACAAATGGCTTCTTAGCATTATTGTGAAAATAGTTTTGACCTCACAGGCTCCTGCAGAGTCCTGGGCATCCCCCAGGGTCCAGACTAAACTCAGAACCACTTACCTAGAACAATACATGGAAAATGGTAAAAACCCAATAAAATATTAGCCATAGTAAGAAGAATAAACCATGATTGTTATTACTATCATTAGTAATACCACTGCTGGTATTACTACTAGGGATACCTTAAAAGAAACAGTGCCTGTTACTACTAAATGCAAAGTAGATATAGCTTTGTGCAGGTCTTTGAAATTAGAAATCTCCATTTATACTAAAATGACTAATTACTGTTATTGTCAGAACGTGTACTTATATATGAAATGCCTGTTAAACATTTACCCCTAGATGGACAGACGGGGAAAGAGAGAGCAGGGAAAAGACAGAGAAGGGAGAGGACTGGGCAAGAGGTCCTGTATGGAGGGAGGGAAGCAGGATGAAAGGGCAGAAGAGGACACAGAGGAGGGCTGAGGGGAGGAGGACAATGACTACAAGGGGCGGGGTAGGGGAGGGGGAGAGAGAGAGAGAGAAGGAGACGGAGAGAAAGAGAGTCAACTGAACATTCAAGATAAGGAAAGCATGGTCAAGTGCAATAAGGGTGCTTATGACAACACAATTTGCTGCTTTCAAGCACAGCCCCCAGACAACCAAATCCTCAAGTGTGAGGTGGTTTTCAGAAAACCAGTCCTTTGGTAAATCCAGATGTTACAGGAATAAACTAAAGAGGAACCCTCAAAAGGTAACTAAAGCCAATAAACACATATTTGTGCCCATACACCTCTGTCCCCACACCTACTCATGACATCATTTTGGCTTTACCTCTCCATAATTAAAGCATACAAACAAGGAAGAGACTAGTTGTATACACAGACACGTATGTATGTCTATATTCTGGTAACACCTTAACCTTACTACTTTCATCTTGCTGCGAACCAGGAAAACTTTGAGAACCAACATTAATCTCAAGTGATGAGCTTTTAAGCCTCAAATCTGCAGTTCTTCCAAACAGCAAAAAAGCTCATTTTGGCTACTTCTTTGTAAGAAACCTTAATGAACTACCAACACACCACCTGTGGTTCACTGTGTCTAGCTACAATTTATTTCTTCTTATACAAATTTTGCTCTGTAGATTGGTGCTCTAGTTATACAGTGCATCGCCACCAAACACATACTATAGTTCAGAATTTGGCAGAGAAAGGACTGAAGATAAATGGCAATGGAGGTTCAGCTCTCAGATGGTACTAAATGCTTCAGGGTAAAGATGACTTCTCTCTCTCAGCTGTTCATCTCTTTCTCCTCTGTGTGCACAAACACACACACTCATTCACACCCCATTCACACTGTCTCTTACATACTTTTTATACACTTTTTAAGTTTTGCAGGATAATTACAGGTTTTACTTATAAAACGGTGAACTTCATTATTAACTTTTCTTTTTCTCTCTTGTACTTGTCAGCTGGTGAAATTACGAACATGTCAGAAGTGCATTTGAAAGTTAACGAATATGAAAACACATCTAGCCAGATTCAGGATATGGGGGCAGGGTGATGGAATGAGAAGACCCATACTACTATGTATGGGGACTCAGCAAGTCACTCTAGGCCTGATTCTCTTCTCTGTAAAATGGAGATAAGGTCTGCCTACCCACAATCTTATGAAGATCAAGAACACTTTGCAAATTTTAAATACTATATAAATGAATTTTCATTAACATAAGGTAGAATGCTATTCATGAATCTAAGATTAAATTCCAATTGACCTATTAATCAGTTGAGAAAATCTTGTAAGTATAGTGTAGTTATTATAAACGTGCCCAAAATTTAGATAAGGGTTGGAAAAAATACAAAAGTACTCTGATAATGAAAACCAGAGAACAGTTATTAACTAGACATCATAATGATGTTCAAAAGCAGCAAATATGCAACTGGCAAACATGATAGTAATTTAAAACCTCCTTGACCCTCTTATTTCTCCAGGACTTTGAGCACTAGTCCACTTAAAGTCAAGGCAGGGCCCTGGAAGAGCATCTGCATTGGCTGGACCATTTCTATTGGCCGGACTGTGTTAATGTCAACAATGGAAGTGATGAGGCTGAAATATCAAAATATTTCTTTAAGGGCATCCTCTGTTAGTAGGCCACAACCTACCCTAAATCTCCAATTGCTGTAAAGTCATCTGGTGAGAGACTGAGAGGCAGGTGACCTTTTAAGATGGGATTAAGCCACCTGCCTACCGCAGTGATTCTCAAACTGCAGCACCTGTCAGAATCACCAGGAGGGCTTGTTTAAAAAGGGACTGGAGGGTATTATGCTGAGTGAAATAAGTCAATTGGAGAAGGACAAACATTATATGGTCTCATTCATTTGGGGAATATAAAAAATAGTGAAAGGGAATAAAGGGGAAAGGAGAAAAAAATAAGTGGGAAATATCAGAAAGGGAGACAGAACATGAA